TCTCCGAAAACATCAGGGCACTTTTGCAAATATGTGATGTCTTGATAAATTGGGCAAATATTTGAAGTTTACACAGCTACATTCTCGCCTAAAAATATCTTAAAAGTTTATTTTGTGACCCAAAAAGACACCGACACAAATCTGGTAAAAGGGAGGACGCATTTGTCGCAGCATTTGGAGGAGTCTTTGAGTTTGGACATCCTTTGTCGCATCGCTGTTACGTAATCGACCTGCAAATGCGGCTTCCGAAAGATGCAAAAGACACCTCTGAACTTGGACACAGCTAAGATACCGAAGACTGCTTCTTCTTCTTTGGCGTTTAACAGAAGCTGGTGATGGACTGTCACTATTGTGCTGCAGTTATATCATGTGCATTGGGTGTGGTTTGGTGGAGGCACTTGTAAATTTAAATGTAAGCCTTTAAGATGATATTGGTGCTTGCGCAGCAGGGGAGCACGGTTGGGGGGAAAGGAGCGACTGTCACTTTGGATCAGAACGTGATTTGTTTTGTTGTTGTTGGCTTCTTTACACAATTTGTGCTCTAGTTTTTAAAATCTTTGTGTTTCAGATAACTGATGGCTCAACGTTCTCCCTTCCAATCCACAACACCAATGAGGACAGCATAGGACATCACGACACCAGCACCCCTGATAGGTGAAGCCCTCACTCAGTTAATTTATAAAAATTCAAAATCCAACATTAACGTTCTGTGGTAATTTGATATTCTGCTACATGGAATTTATGCAGGTTGTCTTTTTTGCAGGACTTGGTCTCTCGGTAAATTCCTGAGGAAAATGGCACCCAGAATATCCCCCAGCAGTGAATCTCCAACAGATAAAGCAGGTAACCACAAGTCTGGAAATGCAGATTCAGTGTATTTATATAATGCAACACTGATGACACTTTAATGACTGACATGTAGTAAACTTTAAATGGGCTGCAGGAGATATTTAAGTCAAAAGATGTTGGATTTAGAACTGTATTTGATACGTTTTATAGCTTTAACTGTTGGATAAAGACCTCCTCCATGGCCATTCCTGCTACACCAACAGAGTTTTAAAAAATGAGCATTTCATTAAAATTACAGGATTTAACCTTCAGTTAAGTCAAATCTTATTGTAATGTTATTACTAATATTGCTATCTGTCCTTTTGCTGCCAACAGTCACCTTCTCCAAGCACACTTCACATTCTAACCAAACGACAAACCAAAACAGTGCGAAATCAAATCGTAACCCCACCATTCGAATCAGCCGTGCCACACGGGGGTTGCAGTGGGACTCCTCTCTGGACCAAGAGGTTACTGACAGCAAGGAGCTACGAAACCTGGATGAGTTCCTTGGGAATCAGGTGAGATCACAACTTAAGAGGGAGAAGGAGCAGGTTTCTAACTTGAGTTTAAACCCACACGACTCTCTCATTTATACCATAAATGTGCTATTTTCAGGACTTACTTCTTAGGTAGATTATCATTGTACACATAGATGGGCAACATGAAATGGGTCCCAGTTATAGCCAGCCCAGTTATTTTACACAACCTTAAAACCAGATTTACAAGTTATTTAAAAAATGCCTTTTTTGGCACTAAATATTGTCCATATTTAGCACATTATTTCCTGTCTTCAGCTTCAATATCAGCTATCCACGTTTAGAAAAACTTCTAGTTGTTCACACTTTCCTCACCTTTGTCATCAGGTGAATGAGCTGCAAACTAGAAAGGATCTGTCGCCAGCTGAGGCGATTTTTCTCACAGCCACGATGCAGTTCAGAGAGAACATCAAAGGCATGTACTCTGTCCAGGTCAGTCAGTGTTTTAACTTGTTGGCTCAAATGACAGAGGAATATGGAAGGCAGCTTTTTCATGTTTTCCTTGTGAAAATCTTCATTTTTTTTACACTTTTACTGACCAAATAGCTTGAAAATAATAATTCTGTTGGCACCCTCAGAAGCCCCAGATTCACTACAAAGATCTGATGAAAGGCTTCCATAACAAGGTGAACACGCTAGCAGGAGCCACTGAAAAGGGAGAAGTTCCAATGGTGGTAAACCTCTTCCAGTCTGTGCTGGACGGCTTCATCAGGGCCACAAAGAAACGAGCAGCGTCTGAACCTGCAAAGGTAAATTTTATTGCATTCGGTCGATCCTCAGTTGCTAAAATACTTTAAGAGTACAGCTCATTTATATGTATATTTCCCTTCTGGGTTCTAGACATTGAAGAAGAGAAGGAAAAAGGATAAAAGTGTAAGTGAAATATCATAATTGAATTTATTTCTCGTGAATCTTGCTGAGTCTCATGAGGGATCTTGCTTTATTTCTTGTGTCTACAGCTTGACAGTCCTCTGGATCACCTGTTCAGCACATACCAGGTGAACATTATGCAGTCATGTGACTTGTGTGGCTCCTACATCTGGGGAATGGAGAAAGCCTATATGTGCAGTGGTGAGTTAAGAAAACAATTTGTATGAGCATTTCAAGAAACAATAGACAGTTCAATTTGACTGTGTTTTCCTCCTGTTTTTATTTTAGCGTGTAAGTTGATATGTCACAAGAAATGCCTGAGCAAAATCATCACGGACTGCTCGACACGGTGTGCCAGGCAGGTAGGTATTTTTCAATCAAATATCGTAGTATGAAAGAATAAGTATAAAAACGTTCCCTTTTATTGCTTGAGACTCATGTCTACTCTTCTTATCTTGTGATAGGATGGCAGTTTACCAGCCCCAGCTCACTTTGGCGTGCAGGTGTGCGCCCTCACCAGTAAAGCCAACCCCGTGCCCATAGTGATGGAGACGTTGCTGATGCACGTGGAGCTAAACGGCCTCTACACCGAAGGGATTTACCGCAAGTCGGGCTCGGCCTGCCGAGCGAAGGAGCTTCACCAGGTTCTGCAGAAAAGTAAGAAATTAATGAAAGTTGAAATGCACGAAGTTTCCAGAAAAACTATTTTACAAGAGTATAAATTCCAAAAAAGTCATCAAATCTCCAGAACCTAATGGCAAAAAAAGCCATTTAAAATAACCTCTTTTTGAGTATAATTTTTTGTGTGTGTGTGACCTGTTTTTTACCTTCAGATCCTGAGACGGTATGTTTGGATAACTACCCGATCCACACCATCACAGGCCTCATTAAACGCTGGCTCAGAGAGCTGCCTGACCCCCTCATGACATTTTCCCTCTACCACGACTTTCTGCATGCTGTGGGTGAGGAACTGTTTAAACTTTGAGCACTTTTTTTTTTTCAGAAATGCCTTAATTCTCTGCAAACATCCTCTTAGACTTTGGTTCCATGTTTACATGTTAGTGTCACACAGCTTCTCCACATTTTTAATTACCTGCTCAGCCACGTCTCAAAGGTCCTCCACTTTATTGAGATCTGGAGACTGTGGAGGTCATTTAAGTACAGTGAACTAACTGTTCAAGAAACCAGATTGAGATGATTTGAGCTTTTTGACACAAGAGCAATGAGACAATGTGATCTTCGTTTGGCACAGTTGGTAACAATATGCAGGTAGGTGTGGCATTCTGAGATGCTTATCAGGGCATTTTCGGCCAGAGAACTCCTGTTCATTCGGTTTCTGATCATTCTCTGTAAACGTTGTGTAAGAAATCCCAGTAGATAAAACACTTTCTGAAATAATCAGACCAGCCTGTCTCGTACAAACAACCACACCACAAAGTCTACTTTCTTCCGCATTCTGATGCTCAGTTTGAATTTAAGCTTGTTACTTTTACCATGTCTATATGTTTAAATGCATTGACTTGCTGTCGTGCATTTGGTTAATTAGATATTTGTGTTAATAAACAGTTGAACATGTGTAACTAATAATGTGGCGTGTTATGTGTATATGTTATTGCTTAAAAAGAAACATAGCAGTTATAACTGTGTGACTATTCTGCATAATATTGACAGACACTATGTACATGTTGACTCTGTGTTTCAATGGTGACTTTAAAATTTTCGGTATTTTTAAATATAAACAAATGTGAGTGCAGATATTTAAAATTTCCCCTGTTAATTCATCCCCAGAATTACCCGAGGAAGAAGAGAGAATAAAGGCCGTGTACCAAAAGCTCGAAGAACTTCCTCCTGCTAATTTCAGCACGTTAGAGCGGCTGATCTTTCACCTTGTCAGGTAGGCAGAGTCGACTTTTCTTCAGTCATGTGGTGAAAGTCCAGTGAGATTTTGACCCGTTTGTTTCTCTCAGAGTTGCAAAGGACGAAGAGCACAATAAGATGTCACCAAGTGCACTTGCTATTGTGTTTGCCCCCTGCATCCTGCGTTCACCTGATTCTGATGACCCCCTCCTCTGTATGAAGGACGTGCCTAGGACTACACTGTGAGTGATCATATTGTGCACTACTGCAACTTTACACAGTCCTTGTTAGACACTGTATTTCTAAAATAATAATAATATTAATTGACTGTTTTGCACAGTTGTGTGGAGATCCTGATCACTGAGCAGTTCAGGCGCTACAACGAAAAGATGCAAAATATCCAGGAGCTGGAACACGCGGAGGCCATGGCTGTCAATCAACTCAGACTCAGAAGACAAGCCACGGTGAGAGGACGCTACAAAGGAAGAGCAGAACAAATGCGACACCAAACAGCGTTTGTTTAACTGCATCAGTCTGGGTGATGTTTTGCATTAAGACAGACCCTGCTAAAGAGAAAAGTAAACTATCCCAGAAACACATATTGGAACTGTCCTTTCTGGGGTTCAGTGACTGCTCCAAGCTCGAGATGCGTTGTTTGTGGTCTTCCACCGCTTCCCGCACAGCTTGAAATTTGGTCTCATACTTCTTGTAGGTGTCTCTTATTTCTGCCAAAGGTTCAGCTTTGTGCTCTGCTAGCTTCTCGGTTAGCGGAGCTGTGATTGTGCTAGCAAGGCTCGCCGACTCATCACGTTCTTGTTCCTCTTTCTTCCTATTTTTCGACATTTTCCAAAATAGCGGGCGCAAATGGTCCTTAGCAAACAGTTCTGAGCACAAAAAAAGTAAAGTAGGTAAATGATTAAGTAGAAGTTATAAAAGTTCGGGAGCACTAACAAAGAGAGAGAGAGATAAACCCACAGATAGCTCACAATAATGCTGCTCTGGCCTCTGTGCAGGTTGTTGAACAGTCCGAGCTCAAGGTTCCACAGGAAACGCAGCCTGATGAAGCGGTGAAGACCCTCCTTGAAAGGATCAAGTCCCTCAAGCAAGAAAAGTGAGCTAGTAATGTTTACTTCTAGTTGTACTCCTTTTATTCCTCTTATTTCTCTCATTTGAATGTTAATATCTTTTTTTGTTTACAGGTTGGACTTGGTCTCCAGGTTGCCTGAGCTGGATCAGGAAGAATCTGACATTGAAAACTTAGACTCCTCATCATGGTTGAGCACCGACAGCCTGGACCTACTAGGGACACTGGACTTGGAAGGTCAGTAAAGAGGTATGGTATTTTGGCCTTCCTCTGGGTGTAACAATGAGAGTTTGTCACTTGGTTAAACATTGTAAAGTTGTTTTTCACAAACCACCATTCACTTAAGCTGTGTTCTGTGTTTTTTGATGTCACTGAGCTGGTCCGGGGTCTGTTTTGGCCACTTTAAAGTTTTTGCTCTCTCTCTCTCCCTCCCTCCCTCCCTCACTCTGAGAGTGTGTTTACTTTTGTTTTTTTGGGAGGGGGGGAGGGGTTGTTTTTTGTTTGTTTGTTTTGATATGATAGTATCTTTCACTTGCACTGATCTCTCATTATAGTGCAAAGCTTTAAAGTACATATTCAACACTGAACCAACTTCAGGTGTTATATCTGCCGCATTTCTAATGAAATTACAAAAGAACAGGCCTCGCCTGGCCATGAAACACATGTAAATGAGGAATTATGTATAAATCGCAGTAATTCCCTAACAATAAATCTATTTTTTTTTTATAACACAAAAATTATGTCTTAGGTCAACAAATTATGACCTAAACGGGAGCTTCTCTTGTGTACTACATCTGCCATACCAAGTGTGTTTAGTAATGTTTGTGTTCTCAGGAAAACCAATCACGCATGTGAAAACCCAGGAACCTGACCTCCCTCCCAAACCTGCTGACCTGACACAGAGAATTAGACATCTAATGGTTCAACGCGATCATGAACAGAAAGAGTTCACATCTGGAGAAAAAGCAGATGTTATCCAGCCTCGAAAAGACACTCCCTCCCCAGCCAGCACGCCCCTTATAGCCAGTAAGAAGTTTAACGGGAGCTCTGACGACCTGGACATCCCTTACATTGACGAGGATGAAGATTTAAACCGAGAATAACACCATAAATTGTTCTAATTTGAAAAATTCCCAAATGTGTATTAATGGAAACAAAAAAGTGTGCGCTTTGTTTTGTAGACGTTTCGATTTGTCCATGCTGGTATGGAAATGAACTGCTTTGAAAATGTATATGTATTTAATGGGAGATGATGCTGACTGTTCTTTCGGGGAGGTTTTATTATTATTATTATTATTATTATTATTATTATTATGGCAGATCTGGATTAGTACTTCTCTTTGTATCAGTATACTGCGTGTAATTTTTTTAACCTATTTCAGAATTGTACAGCTCTGATTTTAATAAAAGGCAGATATTTTTGACGTGTTCTTTGTGACGAGCTCCGTCGAGAAATATAGAACGTGATAAAGAGCACTCAAGTACACAAGAGTGTCTTTTACTAATTAACTCTGAGCTCAATCACTGTGTTACTAATGAATGCCTTGTGTGTTGTTGGGGAATAAATAGCTTGTGCTTGTACCAGAAAACTTCTGACCTTGTACATAAAGTGATTCTGTCTCCTAAAGACTTCAGTGCTGCATTTTGTGTTCTCATCCTGCTCACAAAGTCATCCCTTTAGTTGTATTTCTAGTTATATTGATTTAATTCTACACTACTGTGACTGATTAAGTTTACCTGACTGACTTTATTTGCTATTGCAAAGCTGTGCAACTTCACCAAGTCAGCATCTGTTTATAATTTCGTTTTCTTTTTTATTTTAGGACATCATCCAAGTTTTGCCAATATCACCGACTGAAATAAACCAAATGTTATCAAGGCTCAGCGTGCTGCAACATCCTCTAGTCACTAATGTACTTATTTTCTGTCATGTGTTAAAGGTTAATAGGAAAAATTTATTTTGATTATTTTATTACTCAAGTCAAGAATAAAAAAAAAAAGAAGCTGGAAATCGGGTCAAATCATAACAAGCTGAATTTAAATGTAATGCTGTTGACATTCAAACTCATATTTGCGGCAAATTTAATAAGTGAGTATTTAATTGGAATAAGTGTTAGAGTATTTTTTATTTATTCCAATAGCTGGGAAATTACAGTGTTACAGCAGTCAACAGTGAAACACAACTCAGTAAAACAAACACAACATCGGAGAATGAAGTAAAGGTATGAAATGACACTAGAATAGAAAGAAGTGAAGCCCTGACCACATCAAAATTGAAATGTCAGACAATTGGAGCTTAAATCTAAAATGTATGCAGATATTGTCATATGAGGTGGTTTTGAAAAACTGTTTGTGACACTGGGAAAAAAAAATCACATCATATGTGAAAATATCAAGTTATCTCAAAATCTTTACTTAAAAACTTTACATTTCTAGTTATTTACTGGGAGGCTTGAGTTGGTAAGTTCAAATTGTGAGATTCTTATGTTATGCCTGTTGGAGAGATACAGTTCTAAATTTCAATGTTCTTGTATAACAGCCATAAAATTTTTACTGTTTAATTCTAAATGAGATTTCAGTCACAAAAATGTGAGTTCAATAATATTCGTCTTCATTGATTACGCTCTTCAGAGGGCCAAACTTGGAGGTACATGGTTTGTTTTGCTTTATTTGTGGCTCACTGTGAATGTTACATCTGCACACATCCTGTGGTGGTTTTGCGTTTCCATTACCCAGAAGTCTAAAACTTTCATTTGTTTTAATTTCTTTTTTCTTTTTCTGCTACACAAGCAAAAAGAGGCACCAGCCCCTATTTGCTTTACATAGTAAATTTTATGTTTATATATAACTAGACCGTTTTTGCTGATATTTTAAATCATAATTTTCGTATAACTATTTCACATTTCTTATTTGTTTTTATCAATTGGTGTTTACATATTTTCTCTCCCACTGTATTGATTTTTTAATGCCATGCAAACTTTTATTTTAAGGCTACATGTAACCAAACTTTCACCTACATCTATACTACACACACGCACAATCGCTAACTTAGTATGCATACTACACAATCTTAATCCTAGGTTTAATAAAATAGCCATCTTTAGAGTATGATGTTCATTAAATATTTTGAGTTTGAATACGTATTTCCTCCAAAGGAATTTTCTTCACTGGGTTCGAAGAAGTAGTCAGACACGGTTTACGTTTCTTCGTAAACACAGTCACTCTCCAAATAAAGCATTTCCTCTTTGTTACCCGCGATGTGATGCTCACAAATCACCGTGTGAGGATCGATAGCGTTGACATCATCTGAGCCAATCCAACGCCCTGTTCTGCTTCGCCCTTGTATTAGACAGCCAATCGCTGGACGTCATTGCGCCAGAAGGGGTGGGTTGACATCTAGTACAGGAAGCCAGGCTGAGGTGAGGTGGGGAGGAGAGATCACAAAATAGTTAGCTCGCTGCTAGCTGCCTCCTGGAGCCGATTTGCCCGAAGTGCGATGAGCCCAGGAGGCGAAATTAGTGGGGTTTTTTGGTTTTGATTGGCGCAACGATGACCCTCTGACCCCAAGAATGGACATAAGTTAATGATGACGGGGGAGAAGAAGAAGAAGAAGCGGCTGAACCGCAGCATTCTTCTTGCAAAGAAAATTATAATAAAAGATGGAGGAAGGGTGAGTTAAATATTTATTTATCTCCCGTAAGTTAGCCTGCCATTGAGTTAAACGGGCTCTCGGCCGCCTGTGCTGGAGTGTTTATTTCGTGAAAATACGCGAGGTAATGCAGCTTTTGTTGCGGCTGTCGGTGGTAGCGGGCAACGTTGACCGTTAACGGAGGCTGGGTGTTGGGAGGGCTAACATTGCTAGCTGTGGGCTAGCATTTCCAGTATTAGCGGCCTGCGTTAGCTGCTTGTTAACACGTCAGCTCAGGTAACGGTAGGTCGTTGATACCGTTGTTAGCTGTGTTTCTTTTATTGATAAAGCAGACATTCAGTTACCTTTACTTTTAGCTTTTTCACTCTACATTCATGCTAATAGGAACTCACGTTTCTTTAAATTATGTGGCACTAAAAGTACCAGCTGGGACTAGCTCAACGTTAGCTTACAAGCATATGTGTTTAATTGGGCTTATTTTTTATTTGCCCTTACTAGCTGAATAGTTACATCTGGGTAGTTTTAAGGTGCTGTATGCGGTACAAAGCTAATGTGCAGTTACTTGGTTAATCTTATAAGTAGGTGAGGGCAGCATATTTAAACATGGGGTTTGTCATGTTGGTTAAAAACAAGCAGAACACAACATCGGACAACTAAAAACATTGGTATTAGCTTCCGGATTTAGAGCCAATCCCGATCTGATGTAAGGTAGGATAAGTGTACGTTAGCTGTCCAGAGTTTGGTGAGTCAGGCCCTATTGCCATATTTTTCTCCTGTCTCTGGTTTGACACCTGTAAAGCTGTAATGTTGTGACATTTTTTTATTTTGGATATTTGTATAAAGTTGCCTTGACTAAAGGGCAACTCCCATACAAGGGATTATATAGGGGATTCATTTAAATTTGTTTTGACTGTTGACTGTAGATGGTGGTGATTCTCCTAAATTAGGCTGCTGGCAGTGTGAGTATGGTGGAGCTGTTATAAACTCAGTGAGGCATCTGTACCGGTTACGTAATCAGTGGGACAGTAATGCCAAACATACTGAAAATCCATATGAAGACTAACAATTGTGATCATAATGAGGAGAACCACTTCAGATGATCACCTTACTTGATGGGGCTCTTTTCCACTCAGGCTCCATGTTTGTAATCAGTCTTTACTGTGGCTGTGACTGGTTCTGACCACTCAGCTATTAAGATTTCATTTATGAACATTGAGCAGGAGTGAATGATAGCATTAGACTCCCTAGTCAATGGCAGTGCATTAAGCTCTGAATGCGAGGCAGGGTGTCATTTAAATGGAGAAGTTGCTGCATCCATTCAGTGACACAGTTAGATGTTGTTCTTCATTTTCTCGGAGAAGCAGGCATCCCAGGGATACAGTTGTGATGGAGCAAAAAGGGTGGGAGCTTATTTGATTTACGCCCCTGTCAGGCCTGCAGGCTAGTGTGGTATGCTGGGAAATTACAAACCGCACAAGAGAGTCTTTTGGTTTAGGCTGGCGTATTTTATAGTTTCTACAATTATCACACAAAGTCATTTCCTGCCATAATTTGTTCTCAGTGTCCACGTACACGGCATCATGCGACATCTTCACCTTTGCAAAGATTAAATTGAGCTGGAATATAGTGACTTCCTCCCCACGATGTGGTTTTTATAAAAGGCAAAGGGGATTTCTATTTGCGTGTTACTCATTACAGATCTAGGCCTTTATTTTAAGAGTGACCCAGTAAGCTAAAATACTAACTGTTGTACTATGTCATCTGTTAAATCAAACTGTATAATTTAAATTTTTATGAATTTAGTAAATTATGATTGAGTAAACTTGGGTTTTCCCCTGGTTTACAATGGAATTTTGGGTGGTTAACATGATTGGTTTGAATATTGCTAAGAGTTGCCTTAATTGTTCATTTCTTGTTATTTCTGTCTGTTTGATAATGAAAAATCAATTTTAAGCTTCAGGAAATGAAACTCCACTTCAAAGAAAACGATTCTGGAGATTTTTACTTTGCGAGAATGTCAAAACCCATTTAGTAGGCTCCAGACAAACCTCGCATCTCTTGGTAAAAACGAATCCTCTTGATTTACATTCTGGTCATTGTCTTGGACTTAGTGCAATTCATAATGAGGGCAAAGCAGTATAGATGTGTCTTAATGTTGTAAGTATGTAATGCATTAATGTAACCACTGTGCTTCTTTTGCTCATGTCAGCTTGTGGAATTTAGATTTGAACGCTGCATCATTTACTGCAACTTCCTGTTGTAAAGTGCGTTCAGAGAAGTGTGTTGGTAACAAAATATTGCTCATAACTTGGCTATTGCTAGTGAAAACAAATGCTAGTTTAAGTAGAAGCAATCTGAGGTTATCTGTAAGGTCATTTACTTATCTGCAGGCTAAAATACAAAAGAAACATTTCTTACTCAGTAAGTGTCCTTTAGTCTATTTTATTTATAGTTTTCACATAATTTATGTGCATGTTAATCTCCTAATCATTGTCTAGTTGAGTAAATGTAGTCGTTTTATGCAGAAAAAGCATATGAAATACGATTATTTAGCAGTGTATCTGTCAAGTCAAAAAGAAAAAATTCCGTAATTTGGACACTTATTCAAATACAGGGTATGAAGTGAATTTCACTCTTGTACCCATCTGTGGGTTGTTCCACAGAATCAGGCGATGTGGAGTCTGTATCATTTAGCAGATTCCAGCTCTAGGTTTGATTTGTTAATGTTTTCCCACAAACAGGCACTTAAATGTATGTTACGGTCTCTGTTGCTTGTCATCTAACCGCCTTTCTACCTGTATGTCTGTGTTTGTCTCCATTCAGCCTCAGGGAATTGGGGAGCCCAGTGTTTACCATGCCGTGGTGGTCATCTTCCTGGAGTTTTTTGCATGGGGTCTACTCACTGCCCCGATGCTCACGGTAAGCCTCGAGTGTACGCATGCACATACACACTCTGTTATGTATACTGACATAACTGTTTATAGTCTAACACACCCACCTTTCCTCCTTTAAAACCCCAGCCAGCGAGTGGCATTTCTCAGACCATTGGTGTCTATGAATAATTGAATCTCCAATCGATTGAGCAAGACCCTGGGTGGCGTGGTTTTGGTTTTTGTGAATGTGCATTGGCAGATGTTTTGCCAGCAGCCAATGAACTGAAAAATATGAAAAGGCCACCAAAGTGTTGTATTGTCTGAGCACTAGTTCTTTGTCTAAAAGGCTTATCAGGGGGTCGCTGGTTGGTGCCGTCAGCCCGGAAAACCACACCATACAATCACCTCGCTGCACCACACAGCAGCGTGGGGTGGGGTGGTTCCAAGTATTTGACTCACAGTTTGAACAGCGTCATTTAGAGGAACTTCTCTCTAAAATGTCTCAATCAAGAAGTATTTTGCACAATTTCATATCTTTCTGAGACCAATGAAGTACTTTAGTTTATACCAGCAGGGATTGTTCATCAAGCCTGTAGACTCTTGGTGAAACATAGGACTGCAACAACACCACGCCAACGGGGGATTGTATGTTAATAGTTTTCATTCTTCTCACCCTGCCTTTTCACATTTCAGCCAAACTCGGCATTTACTGAATTCTTTCCTTTCTAGTTTCTCCTTGGGTTTTTTTTTTTTTTGTGCACATTCCTTTTCCTTCTCGTGTAAATGTCTGTGAGGAGAAACTGGTGTCTCAAACAAATGATGAGTAAACATCTGTGAGCCACATGATGTAAAGCAGACAGGCTTACGCAATGCGTGCTTCACAGCAGTCTCCTGTTTGAGGAGCTTGTTGTATCTGTAACTGTTTAGCATTAATTACTGGTTGGTTGGATGGGTGGGGTGGATTGGGAGGGCTGTTGCCTTCACAATCCCTGGACAGAGGCAGGATTTGCATTTTAGACTAATCAGAGGACGCCTGAAGATGAGAGCCACTGCTTCACTGCTCCCAGTGAGTGCACTGCTTCATTAGTATCCAGCAGCAACAGTCTTCACAGAGCATTCAGAGTGTGTGTGTTGGGTAACTGACTCCCAGAGGAAAACAGGGGATTCTTAGCTTTGCCATCAGCTTTCCCTCAGTACCCCCAAACAATAATCAGATCCTGTTGTTGTCCCAGTTGTGCTCATCGTGTCCTAAACTGCTTGTTCCTGCGCCAGTGTCAATGAACCATATCTGCCATGGACTTTAAACCTGTGAACTTCATCTATCTGAACGCCTGTTTCTGTTCTGCACCCACTAATAATGAGCTGCTTGACTATGGCAAAAATCAGAATTGCATTTAATTTGGTTAATACTGAGATCATGTTTATTTAACAGGGTTACTCTTGGACTTGCAGAAAAAAATAGTGGATTTTTCCTGCCATCAAAAGACACGCTAGGTACAGTCCTTAACAAATTTGTTAGATCACCTGTCGTGAATTAAATGCCAGAGAGAAATAAGTCAGAAACTTGTTTAAAACTGAAAATGACTAAATTAACTGAACTGAAGTCGTGTCTTTACACTCAGATTTGAGCTAGAAAACCAGATTTCTCTGAGAATTTAGAAATTAATCAAACAGATTTCAGGAATGCAAGTCAATGACTGTAATTTGCCATTTCTCTTTTTGTTGTTGTTGTTGTTTAAAAAAATTCATGGATAACAAGAATTATTATATTCGACCATTATACTGGGTGGAGTCTACTAATTTTGTTAAGCCCTTTAAGTCCCTACAAAAGAATTTCTTAATCTCAAGAGTGAGACAGAGACTGACAGTTCCCACTTTTTTTTCAGCTTTATTTGCAGATTCTTGATTTTTAGCAAATTGGTAAACATTTACTCTTAACAGAGCAGAGTGAAACAAATATGCTATAAAACAGAAATAATCATTTTGTTGATCAGTCTCTAACCACTCCACTCTGGAGATGATAACACCGAGGACAAAGGTTATTTATAGTTAACTAAAATTAAACCAAACAAGTAGTTGATGTCATTTTAGTTAGCTGGAATATAAATGAACACTAGACTTTAAAAAATGTAAAAACTAAGACAATATTGTGTTTAGGTTAACCAAAATAAATTAAAAGTTTAGTTTAGATTCAACTGACAAATTCTTTTTAATATATCAGCACCTTCAACCTGAGATGCCTTTGAATTTATTGAGATGGCAGTGTTTTATGACATTCGGCCATTTGGTTTGTAGTATACTGTTATTATAACAAACAGTGATTGTGAAACCAACAAAAACTGATGTGAAACTAAACATTTCTAACTAATAAAAACTAAACTGAAGGAGTCTAACCCATCGTGGTTACTAAAAGTGAAACTTAAAACACACATTTGAAATAAATTTGAAACAAAAACTAAAGAAAAACACAAAACTGTAGTCAGCATAGCACTGAGCAACCCTGGAAGCTTTATTAGTTTAGTAAACTTTGCAGGTCATTTGACTGCTCAAACAAATGAGGCTGTGAGTTTATCTTCCCAACATAAGCAGAACAAAAGCAACTTCATCGCGTTTCCTTCCCGAATAAAATGTGGGCACTCCAACATGTTCGGGTCAGTTGTTGTGGAAAGGAAAACTCAGATTTACTAGGGACCACCGGGAGCATGTTGTCTGGAGCCTTTATGATCTTTGCACATTTGCAGTTCGATTGTGTTTAGTGCTCACAGGTGGATGGGAAGACAAGTTTGTCTATTGTGTGATTCAATGTGAGCATTGAATCATGTTGTAATAAGCCATTAAAAAATAAAAAAGGAGTGGGAAAAGCCAGGTGCCAAACTCTTTAGTCTTTTTTT